GCCTTAGATGTTGGTTAATAATCTTCCACACGATTTGTCATAGTTGACACCGGAAAATACAAACGCTTTGGTTTCGTTAGTATCACCGTACTACTGTAAAAAAAAAAAATGTAAAGAACAAAAAACTACCTTCTCTTTGGATATTATTCAGAAAAATAATTAATTTCTTCCTCTAGTTAAAATAATTATACACGGCCCACCGGTATTTCCGAATGCGTTCCCATGCACCCGGTAGGTAGTTCTCGGTTGGTAAGCAACAAACATTGATGGAGTGGAAGAAAAAAAAATGTTATTTTTTTCTTTTATTGCTAGCTGTCGCTAAACACATTAAAACGATTCGGTATTTATTAAATATTAAATCTGATTTGTATTATCAACATGAAAATCAAGCAAATTTTGGCAGTTTTGGCTTGGCGCGTAACGCTTAATAACAACCGTTAAGAAAAAAAAAAATTAAAAAAAATAACACAAAAGAACATAAAAATGTATTGTGTATGAATAATTCGTATATTTGTTTGAAAAAAAACAATTTGGTTTGGTTAAAAAATGTTCGTATTTATGATGTGTCCATTACATATTTAAAATTATAAAAAATACTTATAATGTTGTTTCAATACTTCTAAAATCGAATTATTTTCTTAAAACGATCAATTTCTGATTGAAACTGAATTTTTGATGTTATGAAATTATCCACAATTATTATTGTAGTAAGAAATCTAAGGTATGTATGTAAAAATGTTACGCTCCATATACTCTTTATATTTACTGTCACCTGTTCTCAATTAATATTACAGTTAGTTTAAAATAAGTTGGTACCAATGTCGGATATCGAGGGGGGGACCCTTGGGATTTTCTTCACCATTGTATATTTTGCCTATAATTTGATATTTTAGACTTTATATTGATATATTGATAGAATTTTTTTTAAATTTAACCAAATTCACATATTTTCTTGCTGATTAGAGTAGGTTATACATTTCTAATAAAATAAAAGTGGGTTGAAACCCATTACATCAGTGAATTTGAAATCGGCCCCTTCTTTCTCAGATATATCCGCCACTGGTTGGTACACCAACATTGTATCAAACGGGAATTCTAACAAATGGACATTTAGTCGAATGAATATTTTGGTAATGAAAAATATATTTTTATAATTTAAAAAAAAACATTAATGGTCATTTATAAAATTAATAACTTATGTTGTAATCTAAAATTTGTAAGAAACTAATAATATCGATTTGAAAAGTTTTCCACCTTTTTTTTAAAATGTTTTCTGATATTGACTTCTATTTTTGTAATCGATTGTTCCATATTTGATTTTTATATTATTGTGTCATACAAAAATCATTTTAATAAAAAAAAATCAGATGATTCTTAACTGTACCAATAGCTAATTATAGGAAATTTATATAGTATTCTACCTATTCTTTGGTTTTTATTTTATTGTTATATTGGAATAGACTATATTCGCTATATTCATTGTTAAAATTGATATCAAATAAATTATTATTTCACTTCAAAAACATGTTATTTTTAATTTTATCATCACAATATTTATATAAAAGTATTAAACCCATTCGCCTAAATGTCGTTTCATCATAGTACCCGTTCAGTAAAATGTTCTTACGCCGAATAGGTTTCACCGAAATGACATTCGCTGTAAAGGCTGGATATCATAAAGGTACAGTTTAATGATTTCTTTGCAGCTTTTAAAATTGTGCAACTCATTTTTTTTAAATAAAAAAAATTAGAGTATCTGCACAAGTTGTTTTTACGCATTCACATATGTATGTATATAAATATTTTACGATTGCTAAATAGTTAGTTGAACTTGTGAATACATAAATATATATGATATTATTTGAAAATAACTTGGACGATACATAAAATATAAGAAGAATCACATTACCTCACTAGTTAAAAAAAAGTTTTCTTTTATAAATTAATCTCCTGAATACGATATAAATTATTTTAATTTCTTTTAACGTTATAATACTCACGGTCATTTGCTTAATAATATTCTAGAACACGTTTGGAATTATTGTTATTGTACACGTAAAGGTTGATTTTTCTCCCCCTCGCCAATAACCATCTGCGTAGGTATACCTTGTGATATCTAGGCTGGGGGCGGTCAGCAGATGTCGTAAAGCGCAAAATTTCAAAAGGCCCTCTGCAGGCGGTGTTTTCGGTAAACATATTTTTCATTATTGATTTTATACCTACATCGTATATACGAGTATTTACAGTTACAGTTAAAAATAACATATATATCATATAAGTATAAGTGTTAACAATAGAATGTAAGATTAATAAAACTACTGTAAATTAAAGCTCTCATTATTATATCACCAAATTAAATCAGGAACATAAATGTTGTAATTTGTAGTTGTACGAATGAAACCATTCATTATACTTCAATACATAAAATATCACAATAAGTCTTCATTAAATAGGCTTTATAGACACATTATTAATAAAACTGAATATCAATAACACTTTGATAATAATTTTCCATATAAGGAATTATTGGAATCGCGATATTCTAAAAGTTATTCCTGTAAATATCAAAAATATAATAATTACTTATCATAATTGCATAGTCGATCTATAATGACATTGAAATATGTAATTTTTTTTTGTCGAAAGTACATTTTCATAAATATTTTTTTAACGGATAAAAATAAACCTACATTACATTACGATTAATTGTTATAATTGATGGCATAATGTTATCAAAGTAATAATTAAGCGAGGATTAATTATTAGGCGTTTTGTAAAAATATTAAAAAATACCAAGAATTGTAATATTTTTTAAAGATAATCACACAAAAATGTATAAATAATAAAACTGATAATCATTAATTTTATTAATGATAAGTTTTCCTAGAACTTTTGATCGATTAAATCGATAACACTGATGATTTTCTAATGCTTTAGTAAGCATTTTCTGTAATATTCAATTTCGTATCATTAGGAATAATAAGAATGCTGCACATTATCCGATTTGAATCACTTTAAAGAAGTTATTTATTTGTTAACTTAACAACGCTATATATCCAATCATGTACATAGTACAAGACACACGGTATACCATCGCAAGCAGTTACGTACACTAATACTAATAACACAAAATTGAAATACTGGAGATATTTCGGTCAGTAAATCATCGTAGGACAGTATTAATTATAATAATAAAACAATAACAATAACAGTAATAATAACAATTTTTACCGATGTAAAAATCACCATTGTTCATCAGTAAAACTATTCAAACGTGTACGTACGCGTTTATTCAATTAACACTTGGATGTTAATGAATCGTGAATAATTTCGTCTTGAGTTTCCGAAAATGGTAAACGTTTCGCATATCGTGTGTACAGCAAAACGAAAGGGAGAAAGATTGAAATGATAACCATAATACGCGAATACATCGCGAGACGTATTATAATATCTGTTATTGGCGAGCACGGTCAACACCTGGCAATCTGTGCATTCCCGTGGCACGTGGTCCGACGCGTAATCCGATACGTCGTCGTCCACTCGATACCGTTCTGTTAACACATGCTGTTGCTGCTACAGTGTGCAACTACTCTAACGCACTGTACCGTGTATACCTGCCGCCTGCGACGGATCTCTCAATAAAAAAATAAATAGCTATCCTATATTATTATACAAGCGGACGTATTTTCAAAGACACAAAAATATCGAATAACGTCGCCGTGTAGGTAAATGTGTACGGCAGTGTCGTAGGTGTTACTCTTACGCCACGCCCCGGAAGTATGTGTAATACGAATTGTGTGTGTACGAAGATATCGTCGATATCCTTTATATATTAAACGATGAAAAACAAATGTCTTCATCGCGCACGGGTGTGTATATGTGTGTGTGTGTGTGTGTGTGTGTGTGTGTGTGTGTGTGTACCATGGGTGTGTGGAGTGATTACGATTTTCGATGGTGGATGGAGGAGCTAAGGTTCCGTGCTAAGATTTTCCCGTGACGGAAAAATATTTAGTGTGTATACACATATATATATATATATACAGTCAGGGCCAGCGAGAACTTAAGGATCTTGAGAATCTGAGGGCCCCGAGGCTGTGGGAGTTCCGGGCCGAAACGATGGACCCTCTCGGACGTACGGGCCCCGGGGCTCTAGTCCTCCCTGTCCCACCCTCTTGCTGGCCCTGTACACGGTATAGAAATAATTTGCGCAATTTTAATAATTTGTTTCTAAACACTGATATATACTTTATGGTAAAATAACGAGTACCTATATTTTAGAGTATCTTTAAAATTTAAAATTCTCGTAAATTATTATAAATAATATGATTAATATTATTATTGTTTTTTTTTCAAATTTACAATACTCATCAACTTATCTTCATGGAAGTTTATTTACCCAAATTCAGTAAGTGTATTAAAAAAAAAGTTAGTATTTTTTAAATCGTTATTCTTTTCAATTTTTTAGATTTGAACCGATTCATTGTTTAATAAGTTATCTGAGTCGTAAAATATACAGGCATTAAAAAAAAAAAAATATGTTGTGAAAGTTATCATAAATTTACCAAAAAAAATAAAAATAATAATAATAATATAATTCCTAACTAGTAAACAATATAAACAATATAATAGATATATATTATGTATTATAATTATATATGTTACCGGAAAAGATGACAATCAGTCCGTGTTGACAATGTTTAGTCAATAATGATAATGCCTGATTTAGTAAGGAATTAATGTCAATACCTAGTCATTGATAACAATTCCTAATAAAAGAAGGCATTGATAATAACATTAAAAATTAATTTAATATATTTTAATACTTATTAGCTATTTAGGATGAATCATAATCTTAATCTTTATTATTACATGGTAAATTACTATGACACTTGGAATTATATAATCTAGTACAGCATTACCCAAACTGTGCTACGCGAAGCCTTCGGTGCTCCGCAATGATTTGCCTAGTGCTCCGTTCGTAACACCACAAAAAATTTAAAAAAATGTTTGTCATTTAAAATAAATATATATTTCATGAAAACTTGAATGTTCCATAGTCAGATAAATCACCGATAAAGCGGTGTTGATATTAGTTTAAATGCGGATTTATAACATTGTCTAACCTTTCCAGTCATTGTCAACAATGACTAGGATATACTGACAATTCTTGAATTTTTATCTTTTCCGGTAACATATACATTATTTATAAAAAAATTGTATTATATGGTCAACATCAGTGGCGCCGAACCCTATGTTTAGGTCAGGCCGTAACTTGACCACATTTTTAAAATGAGGCAGGGGATCAGAAGAGCTGATTTATGGTTTGTACTTTGCAATATTCTGATCTCGCGATTATTCTTGCGAGGAATGCTGGCCGGACTCTGTCGGATCGGTACGTGTATGAACGGAACCGAAACGTTCAAATGTGAATTATCTAAAATTAAACACATAATAAAATATTTTGCGGAATGGTATAATGCGATATCTATCAGTACGTGTCTGACCATTATAGTACAAATCATGCTTAATATTTATAATTTGAAAGCACAAATGATTTTTTTATACAAAGTAAAAATGTAGGCTTCTGTGGCCGGTGGGGTGCTTGAGGTCCTAGTAATTTTATTCGGTCCGAGAAAGATTTTAGAAGTTCAGTGCTACTGGTCAACGCTTCTTTACATTTCAAAAATGTATTAACATCGTTCAATTACTGGATGGTGTTATGTTACTGGAACGCTATACGTAGTCGAAGACACGGTTTTAGGGATCTTTTTTGCTCGCGGTGGGCTAACAGTTCGTGCCGCAGTGTCGCGTTTTTTTCCATCATGTCATCGAACGTGACTTCGAATTGACGATTTATCGTCGCCGCCGCCGCCCATACATTTTTTCAGACCTTTTACACGCACAGCTTTGAAGTGTTTTTTTTTTCCATTCTCTCCACCGCGTCCAGGAAAATTTATTGAACTCGGAGATGCGTATACCTACCACCGTGATTAACACTGTACACCCGTGCACATGTGTGTAGCATGTACACAACATTATACAATATACACGCGTTATGCCTTCTAATAGAAATCGAAATCGAACTAATCCGCGGCATCCGAGCACCGGCACGTTTGCGCGCGCGACTATTGTGATAATACGGTATTTATGATTCCAGGTAAAAATATTAAAAGTCATATAAAATAAACACGCTGCGCGCAGGTCTCTCTTCGCACGTTAGCGGGCGCGACGCGGTCGACAATGCGGCGGCACACATGTATGGCACTGCACCAGCGGAGAGGATGGCCATTATTCGTTGGCGTTCCGTATTGTCAATGGCCAGCGATATTATACATGATCACGTACGAAAGTGTTACAATGACCGGGAATTTATTGGACGGGAGGTACACGCACAAGGTATACGCGCACACGTGTATACACACACATACACACGCACATGTTTACTTAAGGTATATCGTATAATATGCATAACGCGCTTACCCGGTGAGCAATATCGCAGCGGTCGGTGTTCGTCTTGTGATTCTCGTCGACCGCAGTTATGGTTATCGCGTATGGTCCGTAATAAATATCCAAAGATATGTTTTCTCTCTCTCTCTCTCTCTCTCTCTCTTAATTTCGAAATAAACAAGGATGATTCAGACGAAAAGTTTCTCTCGAGTCCTGTCGTCTCCAGCACTAAATTCATAAATATTTTATTACTTGTTTCAATATTTAATTTAGTTTAATCTGGTTCGGTTTAGTTGGCTTCTTCCAAAAATACTATACCGTATACTTACAGTTTTATTAAGATATATCTAAGGTACATATTATGTTTATATTTTATGAGGTATCTTAAATTCTAAGATAATATTGTTTTACTATTATATATATACATATATATACGTATGTGTATAATCGCTGTACCTATAACAATATGTAACCATGATTTATGCATATGAGTGCGTATCGCATCGTGATTGATAACTTTGTTATTTTTAATAGATAAATTGTTTATTCATAAAGGTTATAGTTGTATTAACTTTATTAAGATTAAGGAAGTATTTTTACTTAACTGTACAATTCTTTAAACAATAAATATAATTTTATAAAAGATAAATATAAATATTTAAATAGTTATTGATTTGTTACTTTTGTGAAAATTATAAACATCTACCTACTTACATGTACAAATATATTTTAATTCAATAATCTTATACTATTATAATAATAAATAAATATTTATAATTTTCAACGATTCATTTTTATTTTTTTTTAATACGTGTAAACTTAATCTCAGTTAATTTGTAAGTAAATATCTTATTTTTATTTTTATCAGAAATGATACTATATTGTTGAAATTAAAATTGATTTTTTTTCATCTAGTATGACTTACGAGATTCACATAATTCTAATTATTAAATTAATGTATTTACAAAAATTAAGACTATTATGTTAAAATTAATATATAAATATTAATATATGTATAAATTACATTTTGTATATTATGGCAAGGCCGTAACTGGAAAAACATTTCGAGGGTCTAACATTATTATTTAATACAATTTATAGTTATTAAACTATATTCACTGCTAAAATGTTTCTACTTTTGAAAATTTCGGGGGGGGTCTAGACCCCTGCCCCCCTAGTTACGGCCTTGTCTTATGGTAAATTAGTAATAACACGCATATTTATACACTTAAAAGGTATAATTGGCTACCGCTGAATGTCTCTCTTTCTTTTTGCCATAAAAACTTAATTACCTTGTATGTAATTGCGTTTAATTACTGCACTATTGTAAAAATGTAGTTTAAATAAAGCTTATAAAACATAACCGACTCAATGATTCTACACCATTACTCACGAGTATACTAGTATAAGAATATATATATATATCAATGTATGAAGAATCAAGGTATAAAACTTTTAAACATACTCAAATTATTGGATTAAGAGTTAAGACAATCTATGTATACTATATCTGTAAACACATTATAAACATTTGATTAAGTGGTGCCGCTCAACAAGTGAAAGTAAAATAAATTATTGAAAAAGTCAGGTAAGAGGTTAATAAGGTAGGCATAAAAAATAAAGAACAAGTAGTTATTATTTTTTATTACATTCCTGAAAATACGGTTTTTCGATTATATTTGATGGTATTATATTTTTCTTTAATCCTTTGATAAGCATATATTAGATTAAAGTCATAAGTACGTCTACATGATACTATATGTATATATAATTTTTTAATTTAATAGAATCTTATTATTACTATTCTTTTTTAATACCAAAATGAAATATTTATTCAAAACAAAAATACGTAAGATCTCTACATTTTTTGAGTGGGTATACATCATATAACAATATACATTTATTAATGATAATCTTAAGCCATTATATTATGAATGCATAACTCAAAACTCTCATAAAGATTGAAAAAGTCACGACATTTGTTCAATTGAATTGAATAATATTGTTTGGTTTATTACGGGAATCTTTTTAACACATAAGCACTTCATAACATATATTGTAGTTATTTTTTAACAAAGTTTAAAGCTGTAATTGGGTATTTTCAATATTCATATATCCAAGTAATGAATGCCGTGTTTATTTTTAATAAATATGAATAATTTATTAATTCATATTGATATCTAGCAATGTGCTATTATATTTTTCTTAAATAATTGTTATAATGGTTTTTTTTCTCATTACTTCTCTGTATTTGTCTTTATTTCTATATCTGAGTCTGTTTCTCTCTCTCTCTCTCTCTGGTTCTCTGTATCTATATCGGTTTTTCTTTCTCTTACATACACAGATATATAATCTAACACGCATGTATGCTGTGTTAACGACTCGTTGAATGCTCTCATTTTAAAGCTGTTATATTCATAACATACGCATTGGTACGTGAAGCCGGTGTGACGATTTAAAAAAATAAAAATATATACGTGGGCAGCAGGAAGTTGGTGATTAAAAAACGTAGCCACCAAGAGAATATTGTATTATAGTTATTGTTATGAAAACGAGGAGCAAGATGACGGTGAAAAAGAGAAGAGGCGAACGCGTGCCCTCCGTCACACGTAGTAGATTTTGTGATGTTTATTTCCACCACAACAAACTGCAAGTCCAGTGACTTTAATATTACAGATATTATTCGATGTACAAACTATCTATTTTTATTTTTTTTTTATTACTAAGATACTACTATTAGGCCTATTGTCCGTTATGTCCATTATTTATAGTTATATTATAATATGCAAATATACAATATAGAGTTAATTTTTGGACGATTTCAATTATTACCAATCTATTATATAGTCATTGTTTTGAAATACTTGTCTGTATGCTTAATACAGTTAAAAAAAAATAATGTAAAATATTGCAGGTAATAAAACATAATTTGAAATATTAACATTAATAAAATATGATAAATATATATGTAAAAGCATATTATAGGTATTTATAAAACAAGCTACATTATTAGCGGTGTTTTTGTAGCATAATGCGATTTCAATGTATAAATGTCAAGTATAATGAGTCAGTATGGCGTGAAATCTTAGATGTAGTTAAATAATTTTATTAGTTATATAAATTAGCAATTTTTAATGTTTTTACCTTTGTAATTCATGCATGCACGTATACAAAAGATATTACTACTAGCAGTCGAAGATGAAATATAGATATTAATTATAAATATAATAATAAATAACCATATTATACATTCAATATTAGTATCAACAATAATGTGTGAATAATAAATTAACTCGACAAATCTGAAACACCAGAAGTTGAACATTAAAACATTTTGTATTTAATGAATCATTTTCCATTCGATGGTCTTATTTTCATGAGTTTACTATAATTTAATTCAAACTTTTATCGATAACATTTTATCATTTCCACATTGTTGTTGATAGTATATTATAGTACCACAAAGAAATGTTTAGGACCAACGTTTATCGTTGTTACAACCGATATGTTGATACATCATTGTGATAAATAATAAAATCTTAAATTTGATATAAGCTTGAAAGTTAATAAATGATTATGACGATATGTCGCTGATACCTATTTTGTTAAAAGTGTTGCACATGGTATCTGCAATGGCTTTAAACAGAAATATATTCACACAGCTTTTTCACACAATGCGGTGATAATGAATTTGTGTCATTAATAACGAACAATGTTCACTTTGGCATGATGTTATTCGATATGAATAAAAATTATTATACCCTTTAAAACCGACTTCCGGTGAAATCAAGAAAATAAAAGCGCTAAAAATCTTGACAGTCCGTTGTACACGCGTGTATACAAGGAGGGTTGCTCAACATCCTGTTAAGGCGTATTCCTAACGGAATTCATTAAAAATCGTGTAAAATCGACTAACGGGTATCGTAATAGAGTAATACAATGGTGTACAGCAATGAAGTGAAATAATAATCATAATAATAATAATAATAAAACCCTCGAAAGGAAGGAAAATGAACGAAAGGTCTTTGTGCGGCACCAATTGCGCATACCTGCTGCACATAAACGACGCGCGTATTATAACTTATAACACAGGAAACGCGCATATAGCTAGTAGCGCGACCCTCTGAAGTTCTCTTCTTACCTCGTCACATGCAGTGTGCCTATCACGATTTACATATACGCGCGTACAATACAAGGTGGCATAACTCAGAATATAGTACCGTGAAAATAAATGTTCCCTCAGACGAACTATTTGTTTTTAAACAATTACGACGATTTATTTTTATACTCGTATATTAATCATATTATGCATAAATAGTATTATTATTGGAATGAGTTGTTGAAATTTACCTTACTGATTTTATTTTTCATCATTTAAGATAGTTGATCGATTTTTTTTTTTTTTGTATGTATAACACCATGAAAACTGCCCTAAACGGAATTACACTGGAACAAACAAGTAATACGTTTTAGAATAGTTTCGGATTTATCCATCACAATCCATCCGCAATATAGTATTAATGATCTGGCACCGGATCCAACATCCGTGTACAACAGATTTTCATTATTTAGCGGGTCCGTCTAGGACGGATTTCGCTGAAAACGTTTATTCGTACATCACATGTTGCGGTAAATATGATTTGAAACTATGTTTTATTTCACGATTCTACCGGGATCGAAATACGAACAGTTTGAATATCTAATTATTACAACTCAAACACGAGGGGTATGCATAACACACGTCCTGCGTGACTCGAAGTTCTACTAAGGCAGACTATTGTCGGTCACGTATCGGCGGGGGCTGCGAGTGTATTATTTTTTCAAACGATTGAATTTTGATATCGTACACATACATGAATGCAACATACGTACGATCCACGACAACGTTCAGTCCTGCGCTACCCTGTACACTCGTATGCGCGTGTAAATAAAATAAATACGGGCGTCCGTACGCACGTCGTCGTACCTTTACACATCACGAATCATGCGTTCCCGTGCGCCCAACTTCCGGTAGTCCAAACCGCGGATATCCGGGGACCCCGATGACGTGCGACACGGCTGCGGTGCTATATATACAGTGCGCGTATCGTGAAACATAATATAATTGTCTACGATATATACGTGTGTGTGCGTGTGCGCGTACGGTATAACAGTGACGACGGTTTCGGTAGCACGTGATACGCATCCTCCTTTGTCGACGGCGACATCGGTTTCCGTCCGGCGTACGCGCGACGCATAGCCAAAACACACACGCGACGGATCGTGTGTGTGCGCGCGTGTGCTGCGACGACCGCTTTGTGTGTGACGAACACGTGCGACATCGGACACTGTTCTCCGAGGGTTACG